TATGTTCCACAAGGTTTGTCCTTCTCGGTAATGTTACAGTATTCTACCACATATATTGAGATTGTCTAAAATGTCGAGGACACACTGTTATAGTGCCTTTGTTAAGGTCAATGCATGCATGACATGCTCCTTGTACCGTGTCTTATTACAGTCTAACCTATGACGTATCTTGCTGCCCTCGCTTGCCCTGGGTGTCTCCTGACACAAAAGATGTGATGATTCCAACAGTTTTCCCTTCCTTGCCAAACTTTAACAGGAAGCAATGCAGGATGTTTGATTTTGTGTTGTCTGGGCATAGATATCAGTGTCTAATAGCAGTACTTGTAAATGAATGGGTGCAGGGTTATCCTTAATTTTCCTGCTATGTTAAGAGATTAATTGCCTCTCATTAACCCAGGATAATTGCAAGGAGTGGTGTCTATGACACACGCGGGTCATCTGCTTCCAATTAAAGTGTTGATGTGGAAGCAAGCAAACATCATTGCCCTTTCTGAGAGGGTCGTCCCTCAGGGCTGAAAAGGGCTGAAAAGGGGTGCAAGGGCTGAAAGGAGCCGATACCCCCCTTGGAGAAAATTTTCTCCACACTGGGGGGCGGCGGAGGTTCGCTGCAGGTGAACTATTCATCACTTAACATTAATTTAATTTTCTCACTAGCCACCACTGCTGACTGTCTTTTCTGAACAGCTTTTGTCTGTGGGGTTTCTGGAGAATCACTACGTTTGTTTTCAACATTCAGTAATTCTAGCAGCAGTAATTTATCCATTGTCCACTTATTCACTACATCTTTGCTCAAAACATCAAATGTCCTGATGATTCCATTTGCAAAAGGATAAATGGTCACAATTTTTTTCCATGAGACCATTGGGACCTTGGATCATCATTGTCAATAATAACTATGTCACAAGGTCTCATGGACGCATAATCTTCAGGAACACGAGCTCCATAGAAGTGTTCTCTCAGTGAGGTGAAATAGTGTTCTCGCCAAATCTTCTCCCAATGTTCAATCACATTATTAAGGTGCTTGAATTTATGTCTGAGTTTCTCAGGTTCGAAATAAGTAGGATCCTCCACGATTTCTTTATCATCCATAGGTCACTGTTTTGAATTGGTTCGAAGGATCAACTTTTAGGGAAATGGAGCAAGCTAAACCAAATAATAATGGATTGTAGATGGTACTTAGCTTGAATGACAGCTCTTGCCTTCACAGCCATCTCCAAAGACGTGTCTTGAGGAGTTGTCCTACCCACTCCCTTGGGCTGTAGATGACAAGATGTAAGTATAATTACCCCAAAGGGGTGTTATTTCAGCATATCTCAGAAAATGAGTGCTGATTCCACTTACGTTTTGGGCTCAAAAGCTCACACCTTACTGTCATCTATAGGACAGTTTCAAACCCCTTGTGACTACAAGATCTGTGCATATCCTCTGTATGACAAGTTGGCTGGAAACCTATCTTGCCCTTGTAGTGTGAGCTATGGTGCTGAATGTACCATGTAGGACAATTATAGGTGACTTGATAGAAGCTGAAGTGTCCTTAAGAATGTCCATGTCTTCCATTCAATCTGGAAATTCACAACGCTCGCACTGGTACACTACGTTCCACAAGGTTTGTCCTTCGCGGTAATGTCACAATATTCTACCACGTATATTGAGATTGTCTAAAAAGTTGAGGACACATTGTTATAGTTCCTTTGTTAAGGTCAATGCATATGTAACACACTCCTCGTACCGTGTCTTACTGCAGTCTAACCTATGATGCCTCTCGTCGCCCTCGCTTGAACTGGGCATCTCCTGACACAAAAGATATGATGATTCCAGCAGTTTTCCCTTCCTTGCCAAATTTCAACAGGAAGCAATGCAGGATGCTTGATTTCTTGTTGTCTGGGCATAGATATCAGTGTTTAATAGCAGTACTTGTAAATGAATGGGTGCAGGGTTTTCCTTAAATTTCCTTCTACATTAAGAGATTAATTACCTCTCATTAACCCAAGATAGTTGCAACACTAGGCTCTTGCAAGGAGTGGTGTGTCTATGACACACGCTGATCATCTGCTTCCAATTAAAGTGTTGATGCGGAAGCAAGCCAGACACCATTGCCCTTCCTGAGAGGGTCGTCCCTCAGGGCTGAAACGGGCTCAAAAGGGCTAAAGGGGCAGAAAAGATCTGATACCCCCTTCCTGGAGAAAATTTCTCCAGAGGTAAAATCTACTTCCAATGCAAAAATTCAGCCTACCTGGAGTTTACCTGGAGAGGGTTTTGGGGGTCAAAGCCCCCTCGGCCAAGTCTGAGACCAGGCCTTGTGGTGGATCAGGGTCTCATCAACCAGGCTGTTGCTTTTGGCCGGACGTAAACCGACGTACGAACCACAGCCCGGATGATCAGGTACTGAATTTAAGAGCCGGTCCAATGCCTTCTTCAGGACAGCCAGGGGTTTATTGGTAATCCCCTTTATGTATGCTGGGAGGCAGTTGAACAGTCTTGGGCCCCTGACATTTATTATGTTGTCTCTTAGTGTACTAGTGGCGCCTAAACTTTTCATTGCTGGAATTTTGTATCTCCTGCCCAGTCTTTTGCTTTCATAGGGAGTGATTTTCATGTGTAAGATTGGTACTAATCGCTCTAGGATTTTCAATGCATATATTACCATGTATCTTTCTTGTCTGCGTCCCAGGGAATACAAATTAAGGGACTTCAGCCGTTCCCAGTAATTTAGGTGCTTTATGCTACTTATGTGTGCCGTGAAAGTTCTCTGTGCATACTCCAGGTCAGCAATTTCGCCTGCCTTCAAGGGGTGAGTTAGTGTAAGCAGTATTCCAGCCTAGAGAGAACAAGCGATTTAAAGATAATCACCAGTGACAATGTCTTCGTCTCCTACACGTCCTTTACCTAATGTCAGTATACAAGTGCCAGTCTTTATGCCTGTGCTTCAGACTTCACGACTGCGGCACTCTTCACCAACTCAAATTTTTATTGATAAAGCCACTGTATAGCGAAACGTTTACAATAAAGATACCTAGATGTTGCACATGTATCAAATTCTTCACCTTGTGTATATACTAAATGGCATGACAACAAAATAAATCGATTCAGAGGTATTCCTGATTGAAGATTACGTGTCTGTATTGGACATACTTGTCCCGAAGTCATAGGGCTGATAAGAATGCTGGATTTGTGGGTCTTCGATTGGCCGTAAAAGTCTATAACGTTTTTATGGACTATCATCACCACCTGTCAAAATAGACATCTATAGCCCTTGTCCCTCTAAGCCAGGTCAATGCTTCTGAAAAAGTTGTATTGAACCATGTAACTGTTTTTCAAGGAATGGGTGAGATTCTAATCCGAGACCTGGAAAATGCAAATCCCATATTCTGTCCATTTAACCATGATAGCTACATTATTTTTTGAATCATAACTTGGCTTAGAAGAACAAGGGTCTTACAACACAGAAGAGTTCAGTTTATTATGACCTGCTTGCTTATTAAAATTCTTCTTAATAAAGACCCGTGACAGTGAAGCTCATCACTGCATTTGATGTTTTACCACCTGTCGGCTTTGCGCCAGCTGTGTCTGCCATCCCTGCCTGCTGGACCAGCTATGTCTGAGATCCCTGCCTGTGCACCAGCTGTGTTTGAGATCATTGCCTGCTGTACCAGCTGTGTCTGCCATCCCTGCCTGCTACACCAGCTCTGTCTGAGATCCCTGTCTGCTGTACCAGCTATGTCTGCCATCCCTGCCTGCTACACCAGCTGTGTCTGAGATCCCTGCCTGCTGTACCAGCTCTCTGCCATCCCTGCCTGCTGCTGAACTTGAAGGACTTTCATAAAAACCTGTAAGATATTGCCAGTATGTGGCTTTTGCTTATTTCTCCAAGTGAAATAAATAAATGGTGAGAGCGTCACTTGTGATCCTCTGTGGTACAGCTGAGGGAGCGTTGGGCTGGTAGGAACGTCACTTGTGATCCTCTGTGGTACAGCTGAGAGAGCGTTGGGCTGGTAGGAAAATCACTTGTGATCCTCTGTGGTACAGCTGAGAGAGCGTTGGGCTGGTAGGAACGTCACTTGTGATCCTCTGTGGTACAGCTGAGAGGGCGTTGGGCTGGTAGGAACATCACTTGTGATCCTCTGTGGAACAGCTGAGAGAGCGTTGGACTTCTAGGAACGTAACTTGTGATCCTCTGTGGTACAGCTGATGGGGCGTTGGGCTGGTAGGAACATTACTTGTGATCCTTTGTGGTACAGCTGAGAGAGCATTGTGCTGGTAGGAACATCACTTGTGATCCACTGTGGTACAGCTGAGAGAGTGTTGGGCTGGTAGGAACGTCACTTGTGATCCTCTGTGGTACAGCTGAGGGAGCGTTGGGCTGGTAGGAACATCACTTGTGATCCTATGTGGTACACAGCTGAGAGAGCGTTGGGCTGGTAGGAACGTCACTTGTGATCCTCTGTGGCACAGCTGAGAGAGCGTTGGGCTGGTAGGAACGTCACTTGTGATCCTCTGTGGTACAGCTGAGAGAGCGTTGGGCTGGTAGGAACATCACTTGTGATCCTCTGTGGTACAGCTGAGAGAGTGTTGGGCTGGTAGGAACATCACTTGTGATCCTCTGTGGTACAGCTGAGAGAGTGTTGGGCTGGTAGGAAATCACTTGTGATCCTCTGTGGTACAGCTGAGAGAGTGTTGGGCTGGTAGGAACATCACTTGTGATCCTCTGTGGTACAGCTGAGAGAGCGTTGGGCTGGTAGGAACATCACTTGTGATCCTCTGTGGTACAGCTGAGAGAGCGATGGGCTGGTAGGAACATCACTTGTGATCCTCTGTGGTACAGCTGAGAAAGCGATGGGCTGGTAGGAACATCACTTGTGATCCTCTGTGGTACAGCTGAGAGAGCGTTGGACTGCTGGCAACTGCAGAATCACGGGTTCAAACCTCGACACTCGCACTACATTATTACAATATTTCGAATTCTCCGCACACTGAATATACACATATGTGCATCCCACCAGGTACTCCTTCTTGCGGCCTCCTGACGGAGTGTTTGGTGTTAGACTCAGTAATGCGTCATGGACCGGCATGTTGGGCATGATGGTGAGGGAGGTCAGTGTAGTGAATCATTTGTGGAGAAATTACCACCACCATGAGGCTTAGAGCAAGAAAGCCATGACTCCTCCATCTTTCCCGCAACACTCGAGATGGAGGGGGATCGTACATCATACTCGAAGTCTCAATAAGTCACATACCTGACTAGAAATGTAGTCTCAACAAGCCAGATATTAAACTGGACGAAGTCATGCCAGATACCCTTCTCTTGCCAGTTAGGACTGGCAGAATATTTCACTCACATGTTTCCCAGAGAAAACATTTATTCAAAACATCATAAATAAAATTATTAATGAGTCTTAAAACCAATGATATATATAGTCGGATTTATTAAGTCAGAAACACCTCAGAGTCAAGGAAATATCATTTCTTAACTTACAATTGTCACCAGAGCTGTCACCTATGACTGTAGACATTATGGCAGCAGTTTTGGGCGTATATAACGTGACGCCTACGACACCGAGGTATCATTACAAATTCACATTCAATCTGTCCTATTTCAGCACCGTGGGACGTAAGACAGCAACAACTGCGAAGGAAGAATTCTATAGCGTGGCTGCTAGAAATCTTAAGTCGTCGAAATTTAAGATGAGTATGAGTGCCTTACAACCAGCTTTACAACCATGGCAGCATGGGACCGTCTGGTCCTTTTTTCAGCAACTTGTTCAGTTACTGACGCGATTCTTGTTCACTCGTTGCTAGATCGATACTGCACTGTTGAGTTGATTGATCACTCTGATTTTGAATACCTCGGTACCGCCAGAGACACGTTATATGGGGGCAAAACTGCTGCCATAATGTCTACTGGCATAGGAACCAGCTCTGGCGACAATGTTAAGTCAAGAAATAAGATTTCTTTGCGTCTGAGGTGTTCCTGACTTAATTAATCCAACTAGATATATCATTGGCTTAAAGACTTATTAATATTTTACTTAGAATGTTTTAAATAAAAGTTTTCTCTGGCAAACATGTGAGTGAAATATTCTGTAAGTCTTAACTGGCAGGAGAAGGGTATCTGGTATGACTTCGTCCAGTTTAATGTCTGGCTACATGTAAGATATACGTCTAGTCGGGTATGTGACTCGTTGGGTCTTGGAGTATGATATACGATCCCCCTCCATCTTGAGTATTGCGGGAAAAAAGGTGAGGTAATAATCCCCATGCACCTTCTCCTCCGCTGTTGGCCTCCTGTTGGTGGTAATTTTTCCTCAGCATATAATGTACTACTAAAGTGTATAATGTACTACTGTCACAAAAATTTAATATATATATATGTCGTGCCGAATATGTAAAACTGGCCAATTAGCAAGAACTCACTTAAAATTAAGTCCTTTCTAAAATTTTCTCTTATACGTTTAAAGATATATTTTTTCATTAATGTTAATGTAAAAATTTTTAATTTTGCACCAAAAGAATCTTTGAAAACTTACCTAACCTTATTATAACAAGTGCAATTTATTTTAGCCTAATCCAACTCAATGTATTTTAAATACGTTTACAATAATTTAGTACTAAACAAACACAATCAAATATATTTTTTTCGCTAGGTTCAGAATGATTTTGGCGAAATTATTGCATACACAAATTTTCACTTGTCCTATATGGCAAGATGAGCGTTGCTATTTGGCTTTAATAGCAACGCTCATCTTGCCATATAGGACAAGTGAAAATTCGTGTATGCAATAATTTCGCCAAAATCATTCTGAACCTAACGAAAAAAAAATATTTCGTTGTGTTTGTTTAGTATTAAATTATTGTAAGCAAACCTAAAATACATTTAGTTGGATTAGGCTAAACTAAATTGCACTTGTTATAATAAGGTTAGGTAAGTTTTCTAAGATTCTTTTGGAGCAAAATTATAATTTTTTACATCAACATTAATGAAAACAATATATCTTTAAACGTACAAGAGAAAATTTTAGAAAGGACTTAATTTTAAATGAGTTCTTGCTAATTGACCAGTTTTACATATTCGGCACGACATATATATATATATATATATATATATATATATATATATATGCAATAAGATCACAATAAACAGGTGATTTCAAAATATGCGTAACAACGACTGTGAAAGAGTAGTGAAATTCCAAGGAACTATGAAAGTAATACATCAAAGGAAGGCATATAAAGTTTCTAGACCACACCTCACCATCACATCCCACAACAAAGCAACACCTTACGTGCATTCCTACTATCATTAAACTTATTAAACTTTGCATTGCTGATGCAAAATTTGTATTTAATGATAAGTTTTACACTCAGAAGTTTGGTATGACAATGGGAAATCCCCATTCACCTGTTCTTAGTAATTTATACATGGATTTTTTTGAAACAAGACTGCTTAACACAATCCTCCCAAATAGAGCTAAATGGCTCAGATATGTAGATGATATTTTGTGTCTTATGCCCAGGAATGTAGATCTACACCATTTCCTTGTTAAATTAAATAGCTTATCCTATTCTCTAAACTTTACTGTTGAGTTTGAAGAAAATAACTCATTGCCTGTTCTAGATGTTTTAATTATTAAGAGTAATAATGAATTAAAATTTAAAATTTACAGAAAACCTACAAATAACTGTTCCTATGTACACTATTATTCTTCATATCAAGATAGAATTAAACTGTCTGTTTTCTCATCAATGTATTTGAGAGCTTTACGAATTTGTAGTCCTGAGTTCATAGATGAGGAAATATCTAAAATTTATGAAATAGGTAATGATTTGAAATACCCAAGAAACGTAATTGATAAATCTTTTAAAATTGCTAGAAATACTTTTTACAATCCAAAAAGGGACAACCAGCCTTATTCAACTAAAAATATGTTGGTTCTCCCTTACCATGAAAACTTGGTTGATATGCCTTCTCTTCTTAAGACTTTTAATATCAAAATTTTATTTAAAACCTTGATACAGTAAAAAAAACTTTTGATAAAGAATTCTCCCCAAAATGCTGACGGATGTGTCTATAAGATTCCTTGTAAAATTTGTGATAAAGTTTATTACGGTCATAAATGTATCATTAGAAATCATACCACGGGTGCGATTTGAACCCGCGGTCAGAGAGTCTCAAAACTCCAGACCATCGCGTTAGCCACTAGACCAGCTAGCCACAATAAGATTCGTCCAACTAGGTATATTTCTACACCATAGGAAGGTTAGCATAGGCACCACTGTGACCACAAATGCAAGTTTTTACAGACGAATCTCCAGCTAGCGTGGCCGTGACGAACTCTAGCTCAAATCCTCTCACTGCCATCATCATGACTCACGAAATCGTAATGACTCTCTGACCGCGGGTTCAAATCCCGCCCGTGGTATGGTTTGTTTGCAATCGTGTCATTACGATTTCGTGAGTCATATCATTAGAACTGGACAAGATTCCACAGTTCCATATATTCATGTGAGAGATTTTAACCATCCAAATGTTTTTCAAAAATTGAGAAAGTTGTTTCTAGCAAGTCCATGGTCGAAAGGAATATAATGAACTCTTGTTTCAAAAAAGCAGTTTTGAAAATAGTATGAATATTTCCTTTGGGTTATATAAATTAGATCCATTTATAATTAATAAAATTTAGGAAGGATTTAATAATACATTGGACAAATAATGAATCTTAATTCTTGGGTAGAATATTTTGTTAGTGGGATGTCGTGAGGACTTGTCTAGTTGGGCTAGCGGGCCTACTGCATTGTTCCTCTTTTCTTATGAGTCGGGTGCCGTCGAGCGTCAGGTGTTGTTTTGTTGTGGGATGTGATTGTGAGGTGTGGTCTAGACCCTTCATATGCCTACCTTTGATGTATTACTTTTGTAGTTCCTTGATAATATGAGAAGCCACGAAAGAGCTTGGAATTTCACTACTCTTTCAGTGTTGTTTTGCGTATATATATATATATATATATATATATATATATATATATATATATATATATATATATATATATATATATATATATATTATATATATATATATTTATTACTGTGACCACGAACGAGTGGTATTGATCAATAACAGCACTGCACTAACCAAGTACTCGAACCATGCTTCTTTGGCCTGCCTTATGGCGGGCGAAAAACACAAACACATGTTATTGATATATATATATATAAATAAATAAATATATATATATATATATATATATATATATATATATATATATATATATATATATATATATATATATATATATATATTATATATATATATATATTAGATGGGGTCCACCTCTGGTGTAAATTGTAGTACCCATAGCCTCGGAGAAGTGGATAAAAAGGCTTCAAGGAAGAATATTTGGATTTCTTCCTGAAGCCGTTTGAATATTCCACTTCCCCTACCACCCCATCTTTTAATATATATTTTTTTTACCAATAGGAATATTTTATTACATAATATGGTACAGAAGATTTAAGAGATACATTGTTGATATAAAGGTGGCATATAAGGTACATGTTGTTACGTGTATATTAATATATGTCGTGCCGAATATGTAAAACTGGTCAATTAGCAAGAACTCATTTAAAATTAAGTCCTTTCTAAAAATTTCTCTTATACGTTTAAAGATATATTTTTTTCATTAATGTTAATGTGAAAAATTCTAATTTTGCACCAATAAAATCTTAGAAAACTTGCCTAACCTTATTATAACAAGCGCAATTTATTTTAGCCTAATCCTACTAAATATATTTTAAATACGTTTACAGTAATTTAATACTAAACAAATAAAATGAAATATATTTTTTTCGTTAGGTTTAGAATGATACTTGCGAAATTATTGCATACACAAATTTTCACGTGTCCTATATGGCAAGATGAGCGTTGCTATTTAAGCCAAGATCGCAAGTTCTGCCTATTCGGCACGACATATATATATATATATATATATATATATATATATATATATATATATATATATATATTATATATATATATATATTATATATATATATATATATATATATATATATATATATATATATATGTATATATATATATATATATATATATATATATATATATATATATATATATATATATATATATATATATAATATATATATATATATATATATATATATATATATATATATATATATATATACATATAGTATGTGTATGTGTGTGTGTGATGAGAAATTTGCATACATGAAGAACTGCAAACTGTGTTGTGAAACCTTAATTTAAGTAGTAATGGAGCACTGGAGCTCCTCAGACGCCGGTCATGAACCTAAGATGCAACATTCGTTCCCACTCTGGATTGCTCTCGCTGAGATGCTGGAAGAGAAAGGTAGCAGTCCTCAGGTCTCTGATGGTTTCAATGAGCCTAGAACCTAGTTCCTTAAGGAAACCCATCGCAGGTTTTACCCAGGAGCCAGGAGTTACTGATATCATATGGGTTGTTAATGGTAGTTACACTACCTGTACTTCATGAGCTGGGGAACTTATTAATTGGCGGAACTGCCTTAAAATAGAGTAAAAAATTTTAGTTTTTTTACAAAACTTAACTTAGGAACCTCACCTAATCCCAGTTCTAGTACACATATCATAGATCAGTTTTATTTTATTTAATCTTAATTAAAATCAATTATTTTAATTTATTTTTCATATACTGTATATAAACTGATGAACAATATACTTATTAGAATTTGATGAAAATAAATTCATTCTCTACTACTTGGCTAGATTGAAATGTCTTTGCACATTAGTCCACTGATGTAGGGAGGTCAGGGCAAGCAGCCTACAGACTCAATTTCCATAAATATTTATTGACTTCTTATTCTGGTATGTGTTTCAAATATGTTATTTTTATGTCTTTATAATCTATGAACTACTTTTGGTAATTTGCTAACACTTGGTCGGCTTTTCTATAGGAAGTAAGTATCGCTGCTGGACCTTTCATGATAGATACTTATCGTGCCGAGGTGGTGGACTTCACTGTACCAATATTCATAGACTACTGGAGGATCCTGGCAAGTAGAGGTCTTCCAAAGGTGGACCCCTGGGGCTTCCTGTTCCCCCTGGCACCTCTGGTGTGGGCGATAATCCTGGGGATGCTGGTGGTGCTTGCTGCTGCAGTGTTCCTTATGTATGCCTTCGGCTCTGTCAGAAATGGTTACCAAAACTACTGGGTCGAGGTCGCCTTCGGCTACGTTCGAATATTATTACAGCAAGGTAAGTTTTATCTTCACCTAGCACGTCTTCTGACTTTTGCCTCCTTTCTTCAACTGCCCTGTCTTCTTGTTGTGACTTCGTTTTGATCGTATTGGTGAACATAAATAAGCTTGCAGTATCGACAACAGTAACAATGCTTGCTTGGCTCATCGTATTTCTTCTTCTTGATTTGCCGGTACTCTCCTGGCCCGGGCCTTTTCCAAGTGGTGGCTCGGCCTTGGCTCCCTTTCTCGGGAGTATCTCAGACTAACATCTGCCATGGGAGGAGGTACAAGTACCTCCTCATCTTTTGGACCAACTGTCCCCAGGCCTAGCTACATTCCCTGCCCTCAGGGGGCTCGTAGGGAGAAGCTAGGCCTCTCTGGTCTGCCATCCCCACCCAAGGAGGGTTAATGGGAATGGCAGGCTTGGGAGCTGCAAGCTCTGGCTCAGGCACCTACCCTGCTCTAGAAGAGCTGGGCATAATGTCGATCTCATCGTATTTGTACAAGAATGGTATACAATACCGACAAGTTGAAATTGAGACATATGTGCAACATCTGGGTATCTTTATTGTCGACGTTTCGCCATACAGTGGTTTTATCAATACAAATTCCAGGATATAACTTGAAGACAGAAGGACTATATACAGAAGATGAGGTAATCAGTCCCTCAACCTAGCAGTAGGTGCAAAGAGCACCATAGTCGGTGCTCTTCGCACCTACTGCTAGGTTGAGGGACTGATTACCTCATCTTCTGTATATAGTCCTTCTGTCTTCAAGTTATATCCTGGAATTTGTATTGATAAAACCACTGTATGGCGAAACGTCTACAATAAAGATACCCAGATGTTGCACATGTGTCTCAATTTCAACTCATCGTATTTCTTAGAATCATCTCATGAAGCAGTAAAAAATATGTTTATTTTAAGATACAAGGCAATGTTATGAAAGATAATTGCTTTATTAAGATAAATAATAATAATAATAATAATAATAATAATAATAATAATAAAATCATTATTTTTACAAGTACATGTATAAGGTATACAGGCACAGCTGACATCAATGGCATACTACTATATAAAAAACAACTTGTTTTGCAGAGCATTTCGGGCAAATTAGGTCAGTTTTGTCCCAGGATGTGACCCACACCAGTCCACTAACATCCAGGTACCCATTATTACTGTTGGGTGAACATTGACAACATGTGTAAGGAAATGCAACCAATGTTTCCACCCCTTTGCCAGGAATCGAACTCAGACCCTTCACCGTGTGAAGCGGTGAGGCCACGGGGCACGGGGATATATGACTGCCTTTGTTTTTTAAGCATTGTTACACGCTTTGGCATAGAACTGACCAATGTTGAATACATTTTTGCAAGGTTGTCGTCATGGCACCATGTCCTAATAAAAGAAGCAGTTAGATTCTCCATAACTGAACAGTCCTTTATCGCGATCCTGCGTTTGTTATTGCCCATAGATTCACAATTAGGTTGAGGTCAGGAAAGTTTCCAAGACAATTTAGAAAAATACTGACATTCTTCTTTGAGGATTGTCAGTATTTTTCTGGAAGTGTGGCATGAAGAAAGATCCTGCTGGAAAATGCCTTCTCCACCAAGAAAGTCCATAATGAGAAGTAAATGAGCTATATTTAAAGTCTGCACAAAACTTCATTTTTGGTTTCTCTCTATCACCGAGTACACGAAGTGCGTCGGAATGGTGGTTAGTAAGGTGTTCTCGAGTTTTTCTCAGCTGTCCGGCTTCTGATGTGAAGTGATGTACTTCGCATGTCACAGTTCTTTCACCTGAAGCAGAACCTACTTTTCCCCAAAAGCTTCAAGAAGTCCTGCAAAGCCTGTTGTGCCATCTGGACGATGGCAAGGATCCCTACCCAGTGGTCAGATTCCTGCATGAGGAAGTTGGAGAACTTAAAGCGGGAATGCCAGAACCTCAAGAAGAGTCGAAAGTGAGGTGATACGCAAGCGAGGATTTTCCAGGACTCCCTCGGCGACCTCTTTGACATCGGAGCCAGTAATGCCCTTGTGCAGATGACTGTGAAAGAGGATCACGTATTTGACCAAATGCAACGCAAAGAAGCCCCCTCCTGCAGCATGTCTGGCCTTGATCTCGTGACAGCGGGAAGGGAGAGTCGGAAGCGACTTCGAGAAGAACAAGAGAAGGTGAGAAAGGCAAACGCAAAGGCCGAGGTAGCTTCATCGTTGGTGACAGCACCTCAGCTGTCATCCACATCCTCCTCCAGCCTCAAATCCGAGGACGACGAAAACTTTGCTTCTACTAACAGTTGTTCTGCAGCACTTAAGGCGCCTAAAAGGGACTGAAGAACATTTTCGCCTCTGCTGCTGTCACGTCAGCTCTTGATCGAGTCAAACTACCAGACCGTGGAGCCATGTTCGTGGCAGGACCTGTGGTAGGGGCCCTTGGCCATGATCTTAGTCCGGCTATCAAGGTGGCAGGCACGGCTTCGAGAGGACACTCAAGATCAAGAAGTGTCCACCCCCATGGGTCCACTTCTCCTGTACTGGGATGCCCAGCTTCTCCCAGACTACACTGGGGATAGGGAAAGGGTGGACTGTGTAGCTGTGCTAGTTACTGTCCCGGACGCTTTAGAGAAGTCATTGGTTGTGCCGAAGACAGGAAGGGGAATGGGGGAGGCATAGGTGGAGGCATGTATGGCGGCTCTTGATGGCTGGTAACTCCGTCCTCACATTCAAAACCTGATCTTCGATACGACTGCCTCGAACATGGGTCTCCTCCACGGACCCTGTACGCTGATCGAAGAAGGGCTTGGTAGGGAACTCGTGTGGACAGCTTGCTGTTAACATGTCTTGGAGATTGTCCTCTCTAATGTTTTCAAGGTAGTCTTCAGGCTGACGGGAGGACCAGAAACTGCACTCTTTTAGAGGTTTCGGATGGAGTGGCCCAACGTCAACCAAGTGGTATACGTTGGTGCCCTCTGCGAGATGTTCTGCAAACACAGATTGGAAAAGTATTGCATCGGCACGGTTTTCTACATCAAGCAGGCTATGAAGGAGCAGCAAGTGCGAGCAGACTACGCTCAGTTCCTTCACCTGAGCCTCCTCTTCTTGGGTGGAGAGGGTGACAATTGGGCCAAGTTTCAGCCCCAAGGCCCGACGCATGATGCGCTGTGGATGGGGAAAGGATTGAACATCCTGAAGATTACCTCTTCCGGAGCCAGTTCAATCACACTACCAAGAAATCACGTGACATTGGATCACTTTTCGTCACCTTGATATACATCCAGTTCTGGAACGAGGCTCTGCATGGCATGCAAGCCCCTCTTAATGACTTGGACTTCTTCCATACCAAATGCTGCTGCCATCCTCTTTACACCCCATCTCTGGTATCTGGCGGAGCACTTAGGTGGATTGGCGTTCTTCGACGAGAAAGCAGAAATTGCGACAAAGCTTGTGGAGAAATTTTCTCCAAGGAAGGGGGTATTGCCCCCTTCAACCCTTCAGCCCTGAGGGGCCCAGCCCTCTCAGAAGGGGCAAGCATCTTGTTTACTTCCACATCAAGTAATTACAAGCAGATGCTTAACCAGCATGTATCAGTCACCAGGTCACACCACGTCTTTGCAAGAGACCAGTATTGCAAATAGTGTAGTTTAATGAGAGACAATCAATCTCTTACCTTAGCAGGACAATTAAGGAAAATCCTGCACCTACTTTATTATCATGTTAAAGATAGTGTACATGTTGTCTATGCCCACACAGCAAGAATCAAGCATTCTGCATTGCTTCATGGCGGAAGTTTGGCAAGGAAGGGAAATTTGCTTGAATCAGCTTTTTCTTTGTGGCTGGGGGCAGTGGCAGCATAGGGTGCTATGGCATCTTCAGACTGCAATATGTAATGGTGCAGTAAAGATTCGTACTGCACGCTATAAGAGCGAACAAAGGAAGCGAATCGTGCATTGCTGTACTTCAAAGACAATCTGCATAATAACCATAAACCTATAAAAAAAGTGTGTGCAGCTTCTTTAGTGACATTACCACGAAAGACAAATCTTGTGGAACATAGTGTACTAGTGTGTGTATTCCTAGACTGTGGAAGACGTGGACATCTAATGACACTTTAGCTTCTATCAAGTCACCTATACGTGTCGAATATGGTGCATGCAACACCATGTCGCACGCTACAAGAGCAAGGTAGGTTTTGAATCAACTAGTTATGCATGGTACTGCACAGTTCTTGTGTCACAAGGGGTTCAAAATCATCCTGTAGTCGGCAGTGAGGTGCGGACTTTTGAGTCCAAACCAGTACGTATCATCAGCAATCAGTTTCTGAGATGTGCTGACACAAAACCCCCAGGGGTAATTATACTCATCACACCTATTTCCTTACAGCCCATGTGTGGTTGCATCGTCGGCTCCTAGAACCTTCTGGATGCGGCTGCAGAATGTGGAGACGTCATCATGCTAAGTCCCATACAGTTCACTTATTACATGACCAGCTTGTTTGTAAGCAAAATCCCACAGTCTTGGTCATGCTCGACCCGGATAAAGGCCACATTGTGGTCCAGATGTGTTGTACTACAGTGTACAAATACATTATGAGCCAAGGTTCTTCAAAAAAAGTTGTAAAACTAGTGTTTTTACAATATAAATCAGAATAAATGAGTCTGTGCACTCAATGAAAGAGAATGATGAGTGAGCTAGAGGCAGATGTCGCTAGCTATAGAAAACGGAAGGCAACTCACCCAGTCACCCAACAGAAAACGGGGGATGGCACCCGTCATCTACTGGCAACCAAACTCAAGAAGTTCTGACGTCAGCATCAAGCCAAAATGGCATTCAGTTTGTGTTGAGTGTATATATAAACAGTGTTTATAATGTTTATAGATGGAAATTAAGAGACGAGACTGTGTTTATGTTTGTCTCTTATAGATTTAACTCTTATATAGTATAGGAAATTATATATTAATTGCGAGCTTTCATATATTAACAGTGACATTTATATATGTGTAAGAAATATACATGTG